TGGGCTGAATACCGCCAAACCGTCCAAGGTGTCATTGTTCGAGGCACCATTTTCATAGCCCGAGAACGTCATGCCATGGCCCGAGGATCCCGCTTTATATTCTGCACATCATTATTCAAAGGCATCATGGTTCGGAGGCACCATCATCATAGCCCGAGAACATCATTTCATAGCCTGCGAATCCTTTATTATGCGCTTCACGGCCCAGGACGTCATGGTCTGAGGACGTGATCCTAACCGTCCAAAGACAACATTCATGGTCCAATGGGAACTTGCATCACGTTTAAATTCTGCACGACATGCTTGTATTACTCAATTGTAGGTACATCGGCTGGCAACGACCATTACAGCAGGAGCGATCTCGCTCCGGTTCTCACAACCCATCAGTCCCTGACCACCCTTCCTAACCTAAATATTGCGTCCGTCTCTTCAAAAACCTCCATCGGCATACTCCGTCGATGTACCCCGAACTACATATGACCTGATTCCTATAAAACCAGGGATATGTAGGCAGCTCAAAAACCAGAGCTCGGTCAAAACCTTTGCAAGTCGTCTCTCTCGGTCAAAATTGGTCATCATATCTTTACCCGACAACTCTTTCATCCTTCCCGGGTAAAGAGGGGCAGCTGTTGATACCCAATTTTTCCCTATGTATTTTATATACTCAAGATGTTCCCAAAATAGTATGTACATGCATATATAAGCATGCCCAAGAGCTTTGGTATCTTTCCCTTATTTTAAAGGTTTTTAAAATCAATTTGTTGTCTATTTTAATAGTACAAAATTCAATAATTATTTCCGGACTATCATTTTTTTGATGAATAATTTATTTTTATTTCATATTTACACCAAGATATAATTAATGTGATTTTTTGCACATTTTTATAAAATTTATTTGGTATTTTAAAGGCTTAAATTGCTATAATTGCGATTATAGCCTGTTTTCCGATTGACAGTATTTTGCAATTACAAAATTGCTCCCAGTACTTTTAATTAATATTTACATAATTATTAATCAATTTAGTGCTTTTAACTGGTTTTGGAAATTATTTTAACTATTTTTAAAATAAAAAGGGAAGAAATGGTTGTTTAACATTTAGCCTCGTCCATTTCAATTATAACCCCTTTGCAATTTCAATTTTAACCATAATTGAGCCCAATCGCAACCAGCCCAAATTTTAAACCGACCCAATCCATTAAAAACCGACCAGATCCCCCCTTTTAATCTCAGCCGTTGATCTTCTAGATCAACGGCTCAGATTGATTATTTCCTTTTTAATTCACAGACGACCCCTAACCCTAATTCATTTTCCTCCTTCAGCCGCCCTTGAACTCCCAAATTCTCTCAAGGCTCCCCGGAACCCTAGCCTCCCCTACCTTGTTCCACCATGTTTTCACCGGCGTCCATGGCTTCTCAGGCCATGGACAGCCTATACCCACCTCCTATGGCTCCTGCATGCCTGTTGTTCGAAGAATCGAGGCCAGACCTCGAGGCTCTTCACCCAGGCCTTCACTGATTCGAAGATTCCGGCCATCTCCGGCCTTGCTTCGGTAGCTCTTGGTCTTTTGAGTCTGTTTATGACATTATCCGACTTAGATCGGGTATTTTCGAAGCCTTTCTCATCTCTAGGGTTCATCTGGAACCCTAAATATCGAGGTTATCTCCGATTATTTTAGATCTGTTACATGTTTGCACTGTTGCTTAAGTTTCTTAAACCTTTTTTTCCGATTTTCTTTCAAAAAGCACTTCTTTTCGATTAGGGTTTCTGGAAAGTCCTTAAAATTTTTTTGACTCTTCTTCTTCTCTTTTCTTGGTGTGAATCGATCCCTGTTATGTTCTTACTGGCTCTTTTCTGACTCACATGCCTTTCGTGTGTTCTTATATTTGCCTTGTTATGAAATTTATTTTATTATGCTCCGTTCTATCTCATACTGGTTTTTCACCATGCTCTCTCATGTCTATCTTATGTGTTCCTCTACTGTATTTTCCTACTGAGTTTTGATCCTTTGTTTGCCTTTACTGGACTTCGCCTGGATTCTTTCTAGATGTGTGTCATCGACTATTTCTTTAAGTTTACACTACCTAAACTCATTTAATTTTCAAGCTTTCTTGAAACTTGTTTCCTGTACTGGTTCCTATGTTCTACTTGCTATTGTGCTTGTATGCTTCTCATGAGACTCTGAAAAGGTCTCTGAGCTCATCTCGATAGTTTGCCTCTTCATCTCTGTATCAAATTCGAGTTTAAAAACCCTAGGATTTGGGGGTTTTCTTTGGCTAAATTTGGTTTTATGTTTGGACAAGGGTTCTACTTTGAAACCTTGAACTCTCAAACTCACTTCGAGTTTATGAATTGAATTTGAACCTTTTTCTGCGTTTGTGATTTTGAAACCCTCTTGCTTGACATGTCTATGTGTTTTATACGAGAGCGTCTCTTTCAAAGGTCTTGCCAACTGTTAATTGATTCTGAATTCCTTTAATGTTGCTTATTTGATTGTTACTTATTTTTCCCTAAATTAAAACTTTCCTTTTACCTCTTTTCTGACTCGAGCAAGGCTTTCAATGGGATTCTTTACTGGTTATTTTACTGATTCCCTTTCCTTGTTTTACAAATCAAGTACCACCATGTATTTACCCTTATTTGTCTACCTTGCACGAGGTATTTACTTGATTTACTTCCTTAAATAACTTCTGCCCATTACCGTTTGAATTTGGACTCCTTAATTAAAGGAAGTCTATAGGCTGATTGATTTTAATTGGTACATAGTTCCTTAATTATTACTAAACTATGATTCTTGCCTTATTTGCTACACCTGTTTGCACTTATAAATATCCTGCTCTTTCATTAACACACACATGATTTTAATCATCACAACTCTCTTCTAAAACTTACACTCTTGCTTCTTGATTGCAATTTGGCTTCCCTAAATCTACT